CAAAAGCATCAACATCAGAAACAAAATATTGCACACTATATAAAAATAGCAAAATCCACTATATATACATTTTAATTAAAAACTTCAGTTGCAACTCTTTTCACGTAATTTCAGTATTTTTTTACTAGGAATGAAGAAAGTGGCAATTAGATGTTTTCAGGAAAGAAACTCCTCGACGTTGCATAATGAAAGCTTGCGAACTGTGGGAATCGTACTGTTCTGGTGTATTCCTCACAGCAGATGCACATCCAAGTTTCTCTAGTCGTGCACACTGTGTGAAGGTCAGACCTGAGGGGAAAACTGCAATATTTTCCAGCAATTGACTTTCAAATGATTGGAGGATAATGAAGAAGAGGAGGTGAGGTCGCGTCGGCGGCGGCTTTTAATATTCGTTACTCGCGCGCGAGATTTATGCGCAAAACCAACTGTAGATTATCGTGCGTTGCATTGTATTATATTATTATTATTAATATTTATGCGTTTTTCCTTTTCTCACCCGAGCGAGTACGATTTTGTTCACCTTCGTTTGACCTCTAACTTCGTTCGAGCAGCAAACTTAATAATAAGCCGCGCATGGGAAACGCGAAAAAGGAAAAATCCTGTTCGCAATTATTATTATTATTATTATTTACTGTCGGTCGTCGTTGGGTAACTGGACTTTCACTCCGATGCAATGAAGTCATATTTGAATTTGCGATTTGTGCTACCATCTTCGTTCCCCTCGACCTACAAAAGCTTTAGCGTTTATATATTTTTTTTTCCTCTTCTTCGTGTTGTACATGTTAAATCGTTCGGATCTGGCGTTTCTAGGTCAAGGCGAACGCAGGCCGGATGAGTCACCGTAGTTTGCCGTAGTTCAGATGCTCTCGATGTAGTCATCAATTATGATGTTGTCTCTTAGGACTTGTCATCGTGATACCACTGACGCATGCTAAATTATTACAGTTTGGGACTTGATACGACTCAAGGAATATTAGATTTTCCAACAAATTAGCAATAACTTGGAAATAATTTATTAACAAAGATATTGAAGTGCATTTGAAACTAGGACAATCTCTATTAGAACCTAATCTCATCGAAACATATTCTTCTCTGTAATCCAACCTAATTCAAACGTAACCTAACCTAACAAAACTTAACCTTATTTATAAAGCAACCTAATATAAACTAAATGAAATAAAAACAGTGGCTATATAAAAATTATTTAAACAAAGACAAAATATCTTTTTGTTTAAATATTTGTACATTAGGTAATTGGAAAATTGTTAACATTTTTTTTTATATATATTTCTAGATGAAGTAAAAATATTTATGCGGCTCATTGTGTTCTGCTTCGAAAATTGTATACAATATTTTGTTTTTAGCAAATTAATTTTATTTCATTTCACTGATACAATAGGGAAGCATGTAAAGGTGAACAATTCGAAAAATGAATCTATTGTGTGCGTTCCATGTAATACGTTTTATTGTTATTGCAGTACGTGAGTTTTTTTTTCGTAGCGCGGATGCGGATGTACACGGCACATTCGTCGGTCGGATTTGAATAGTATTTACCGACAGTTTGTAATCAAATTTTTCATAAATTAATTAAACGTTTCATGATTTTTTTTGTAGTTAATTATAAAGCAGAAGTTTGTGAGATGATGGCAAAGTACAGTTTGTATCCAAGTATTAAGTTTTTTTAATCTGAAATTGAAGCTTCATTATAAAGCTTCGTTGTATTGTTGTGTAGTTGATTGATGCACATGATGCATGTTTATTAATCTCATTTTCGGATGTGTTTTAATGAATTGAAGGCGAAATAATAATGATGGGATTGGGTCGTGTTTCAATTAACAAATGTCCGACCGGCAAAACTCCGCTATTATGAAACAACACATTAACTGCGGATTTCATTATTCAATCGAGCGTGCTGTGTGCGAACGTCGAGTTTTTCATTATTTACAATGACTAGTGTTGCAGGAATGCGAATCACTATTTGCATCAATTGTTTTAGTATTTCTTTTCAAAGCATTACACAGAATTGAGCATGAAACTGTTATTAGTAACGTACAAATAAATATTTACAAACAAATAAAAACACACACAAATGATTAATTGTCAGTATTTGCATCAATAGTTTTAGTATTTCTTTTGTTTCAATTCAACCAAAAGCAAATCCCCATTACTTTTTATAGAAGTATGGTTCAGATCATTATTGGACAAATCCTTCTAATTATATAACTTTTAGGAATTCTTCAGTATTATCTATCAGAATTTCCAATGATAATACATACTTTTTCATTAAAGTGATTAATTATAGTGTTAAACGCTTCACCGAATGAAATACTTGTGTACTTACAATCAGTGAGATTAAACAGAATTGCGGAAACTTAAAATGATGTACACTTAACATTGGATAATTGGACTTTCACTCGACGACGGGCGATGAAGCTGCCGCGTTTGCGATTCGCGTCTTTCCCTCGACCCACAAACCTTTGATGTCTTTCAGCGAAGCATTTGATTTTACAAAAAAATAGCGTGTAGATTGAGCGGTTTTGCGGGTCAAGGATAATGACTATTCCTCATTTTTCCTCTCCTTTCATATGTCGCCAATAATTTTCATCCCACCTTGGAACATTTATAGTTAGATCCATAATAATTTTCGCAATTTTAGTTCATTTATTACAGTTTCTCGTAGTTTATTTATTGATAGTATACATATAGTTAACCTAAAACTCATTGGATTGTCAATTCTTTGGAATATGTATAATTTTTTAAACCAATTTTTTTTATATTTACTAAAAGAAATTTTTGGTTTTAACTCATTGTACACTAACCCAACTTAAACTCAATCCAGAGCTAACCTATCTTAACCTCATGTAATCATTTTGTATTTGATACATACGTCAATTACCAAACTTTACTTACCATAACCTAACTTACCATTCCCTAACTCTGGGTTTCCCAAACTATTCTGAAAATTTAGCAAGAAAAGTTGAGGAAATCCTGCTTTAACCTATTTTATACTAACCTAACCTACCATACATTAACCTATCTCAGTGGTCGGCAAAGTGCGGCTCCAGAGCCGCATGTGGCTCTTTGGCTTCTTATGTGCGGCTCTGGCACAAATATTTATTGAGTATGGAATTTAGTTTTATTTAGTGTACTATTTATTTAGTGTAATAAAAGTTTACTAAACAAGTAGATTTGGCTCACATTTTTTCATATTTGGCTCTTTGGCTAATAAATTTGCCGACCTCTGACCTATCATAACTTCGCATACATGTTAATACTTACTCATATCATATAGAAAAAAAAGCTATGAATGTTTTAATCTAATTCTGTAGTAAAGGTTGTGGAGAAAAATTGTAATGGACAGGTAAAAGCAAGGTGTGCAGAATAGAGGTGGATGTTACAAAAGTTTGCGGATTTAAATGGCTGTAAAAAAATATGGGAAGAGGAAACTCGGGTAAAGTGTGCCTAGTATATCAAATCCATATAAATTTGGTTTGGCCAAATTTATGCGAGCAGCATCCACGTCGGCAACAAAAGTTTCCACGTCTACTCCGGCTCCCTTTTCGCAGAAGATATCTCGCAAAGTTTATCTTTATTGCCCTCTCTCGCATTCAGGCATCGCCCTTCGTCGCAGCAGAGAAAGAAACCGGGGCAAATAATACAGAAAAAAAAAGAGAATAATCGCACAGACACATATACACAGTCAGCTTCTTCCTCCATCCTTCTACATTCGCCTATTATATAACAACAGTAGGTATGGCAATTGTGTTGTGCGAAGATAGCTATCTTCCAGGATCGTTACACGTGTCTCTCTCTCTCTCTATCCTTCTCTTTGAATATATCCATTCGCTGTTTCACTAAGTATACATGCATTCGCTCCATCTCTCTCACATGATTTACTAGTGTGTTTGTGTATATTTAGGTTGGAATCAATTAGGGCCGCCCTCCGCAATTATCGTTCGTTACTGTGTGTAGCATTTCGGATTAGTAATCGCGATCCAATTTCGGAACGGCATTAAATTTCCGCCCACCGGAAACGGGACTGCTTTCAAGAGACCCGTTTCAATTGTGCCGCGCGGAAAATTGCACCATTGTTGCTGCGGATGGTTTTTCCTCCGTGATTTCTGCAAGCACACATTCACGTTTTGCTTTGTTTGTTACTTTTTTTTGTTGTTGTTGCTGTTCCTCTCGCTTTGTTTCTTTGTTGGACAATGCAAGCGTAACGAACGAGAGATGCATGTATAATAGTTTGAACTTGTATGATGATCTTGGCGTTGATAAGGCTGCTCGACAGGAATGTGCCGTCTACATGCAAAAAAAAACATAAACGGTTGCTTTCGATTTTGCCTCGAGCTTCTTGGACTTGCTCTGATTGAAATCCAGTTGATTTAAATTTTAATTATCTCATCTGAAATTAGCTATTCTTCCTGTATAATATATATATACCACTTTTTACGTAACTATTACATTATACTACTATAATTACTTTCATCTTAGTATTGACTGAATATAAAACCAAAATATAGCTTTTATATAGGATTTTAACCTAAACTACCCAATATGAATGCAGCAGCTTCTAACCAATTTGGTATTGAAAAAGTTGTCTTGAATATTTGTAAAAGAGTAGTCAAAGCACAGAATATACTTTCAAAAGGATTGAATAACATAACTAAAATAACATTTTTAATATAATATATTTGGAACTCACATAAGTTTTGTATTATTATCACATGAAGTTCTTTTAGAGCTATTACAAGTTTCAAGGTTATTTCAACATAATTTTCTGAGGTTCCTAATTTGTTATATTTAGAATTCAGTGTAAGTGATATGCATTGTTTATATTGTAATGTACTCTTAAATTTTTGTACTTCGGAGTTCCTCTAGGAGTTATACTTGGACCTATTCCAATTCTCAAGGTTATACCAAAGCATAGTTTTCTAATATCATCAAATAGTTATATTTTGTATATCTTGCATATTTTAATTTGTCTTATGTCTTTGCAGACTTTCATGCCTCTGGTGTCAACTGTGGATTTGGGAGGCCAGAAGCAGCCCGTGGAATTCCTGCTGGACAGAGAGATAGCATTCACAGACTACAAGCAGCTGAAGCCGTTCAAAGTGAGTTTTAAAGTAGAAATCTCGCAAACTATTTGCATTCCGATATGCAGTCGTTATTACGCAAGTAACGCTTTAATTCGTGTTAGCCTTGAGGCTCTCCGTCTCTATCCGCAATTAGTTTGTGTAGGCTCATTTTCTCTCACCGTCCATCTCTTTCCTGCTCCTTCTTCCATAGTCGTTTTTAATTTCATTCCCGCCGTTTTTCATTATTTAGCATAATTTATTTTAATGGCCTTACGATGATTGTTGCTATATGGTTTATGCATTCCCACATTCGTTTTGTTCGTGCACGTCTTAATTACCACCATAAAACAATACCGGTTTCCATGGCTACTCTCTTCGCAATGTTTGTTTTTCTTTTATCTACCCATTTATTTGCGTCGCTCGATCCAACTATTCGCTTTTCTCCAGCGATTTATGTAATATTTACCAGTATAATAATAATGAACAAAAAAAAAACGAGACGAAGTACGCACACAAAGTATACAACAATTAAAGTTACCTTTTACGGTCAGCTCCAACTCCTTATCGAGTGGCGCGACTAATCGAATCGATTGTAATAGTATTGAGTATCTTTCCATTGCGTTCCTTTGCCTCATTGTGCTCGCTTTTCCCGCTCAGTTTTGCACGTGAAACGTTACGCAATTGAGGCTGGACATGCCTTTACTCCGATTGTTCGTGCTGTTTTATTCGTAGTTTTTTTTTTCATTGTAGTTGTTGTTGATTGCTGCCCACAATGCGACGATAAAATATAAATCGCGCCGATGCAATGAACGCAGCAGTGGCGACTATGGAAATACGCAAATGTGTCACGCAGAGGCGATATCGTTTATCAATGTCACGGGTTACTCCGATATTTTGATCCCGATGTTATTTTCCGGCCGTTAATGAGCCTCATTTTCCATCCGTCCTAATGGTCTGCACTTGCCCAACAGCAATTTACTGACAAAGTTATTGCTGATTATGTTATCGCAAACTATTAGCTAATTGATACACCGTTCAATCAATTTCAGCAATCTTCGGTTTTATAATGCTAATGACCTTTCTTATTTCTATTCGTTTCCTATCTGAACGCTGGTACTATTATAGTACAACGTTCTTAATTAATCATGCACCTTGCACCTTATCTCTCTNNTTTTGTTTCATGCATACTTTGATTTCTATTTATAATGGTTATCATGTTTTTGTATCTAAAAATAACTCATTTTTATCAACGTTTTTAATTATAAATTTTTCATATATCAACTTATAACATTCTAACAAAATTCTTGTTGACTACAATCTTAATCAATTTTATTTTGGACAAGATTTTTTTTTCGTTGACTTTTGTTCAGAAATATACAAAATGGGTCTATATCGCAAGCCCGACAACCGAAAGACCGTCTATTGAAATCCCGACGTTCAAAATCCCGACTATATCGAAATCCTGACGTTCTAAATCCCGACTATATCAAAATCTTGACAAACATAATCCTGACTGTATCAGAATCTCTACAACCATAATCCCGACAAACATAATCCCGACTATATCAAAATCCCGACTATATCGAAATTTTTACAATAACATTTTTAAATTATTTCGGATCGTAGTCACCTTGTGCTACACTTTTATTATTAATAACAATAAATTATGATTAATTTATTTTATTATGTTGAATTATTCATAATAAACCTTAAAATTATGAAATAATCTCAAATACAATTAGATTATTAATTTTTATTTATTATTAATAACAATTTAAAAGTCATTACGCTCCGGAATAATTTAAAAATGTTATTGTAGACATTTTTGATATAGTCGGGATTTTGATACAGTCGGGATTATGGTTGTCGGGATTTTAATATAGTCGGGATTATGATTGTCGGGATTTCGATACAGTCGGGATTTCAAACATCCGGATTTCGAACGTCGGGAATTTGATTGACGGTATTTCGGTTGTCGGGATTGCGATTGCCACCGATACAAAATTACTTAATTGATGAATTAAGACTATTTCGAAAATAATATACTTACTGATATATTTTCTACTTTTCTAAGTATATATGTTTATTTATTTATGTATGAATCAACAAAATTTACTCGAAATTATTTCATGTGTGAAAATTTGTTTTGAAAAATATTTCTATTTCATATTAAATTCTCTATATATAAAAGCTTAAATAAGTGTCATTTTGGCCAAACGAAACTACATTTTATTTTATATATCATGTGTGAAAGTTTGTATAGAAAAAAAAATCCTGTTGAAATTTCGTTTTAATATTAAATTCTTTGTCTACTGAAAGCGCAATAAATATAGGTGTCATTTATTGCGGCAATTAATTAGTGAAGTTTATACATTCAGCTCGTACGAATTCTGCAACGTTGTGTTTTTTTTTCGTTCTCTCTTTGTACGTTCATATATATTTATTTATAATGGATCAAAGCTGGGAATGCCGGACTGGCTCACAGCCAACTATTTCCATTTATTTAAAGAATAATAAATGGCACGCATCGGATCCGTAATACATCCTTGGCCTCCGCAACGAACGAAAATAATCAATGAAAAAAAAAATCTAAAACGACAAAGCTTGGAAACCACTTAAAGCCGGACATTAGAATAACATAAATCCTGGGATTTCATAGACGTTTGTTGTTGCAGACTTATATATTGAATCCAATGGAATTGATTTATTGTTTTCATCTCGTTACTATTTTTCTTCATTTTTTTGTAACTTAATGGAAAATTGATGAAATAAGACTACAATTCCAAAAACTATTTGTAAATGTTATATAATATATATATAATAAAGTATACATTTCCCAGTAAATGTGTTCAACTTACATTTACCCACATTTCCGGGAAATGTATACACTTACCCAATGAAATCGGTAAATGTTCATATATGTAAATAAAATATATAAGTTGTCACGCCAAAAAAAACTAATCACACAAACACAATTATTTTGTTTTGTTTGTTTGCCGGTGACCTAACCTAATCTTGATATACAAAAACTGTATCTCGTATTTATTATTTTCAACATTTACCGGTAAAAGTAGATTTATGACGATGCAGTCAGATGTTTCATAAGCTTTTTTCTTCTTTGAAAGTAATATTTAAAATGAAATTTATACTAGAATTCAAAGAAAAGCAATTAAAGATCTATTGAATCAGGAGTACCGCAAGGAAATGTTTTGGGTAAAACAAGTTCTACTAAGTTTACTTAATAAATAAAACGAAATTGTACAATTTGTTTATGATATTGTAATACACTGAAACCTCGCTTAACGAGAAAAATGACTCGCTTAACGATCGACGTTTCGCATAACGAATGAATGAATGAAGTCCCGGATTGTGCGCCTTCTCCATCATTTTTAAAACTTGTGTATTTTTTAATATGTTTTACTATACGAGTGATATCCGGAAATTTTGGAAGGGGTCAAACCAATAAGATCTAAATTTGAAACAAGCCATCAATTTTTAAGTCCTAAATTTACAAGTTATGATGTTATAGTATTATTCTTCAATTTACTTGTACCAACTTCAACCCTGTTATAAAATAATTTAACAAACTGTTACAAAATTACAACTTAAATAAAACACGAAGCAATTCACTTTCATGATTCGAAGTAATACAATTTTTCTTTTCTACTTCGTGCCAATATTTAATTTAATATTTCTCTACCTTGCATTTCCTTTGTGTGCTTTCAAGTTGTTTAGAGGGGACGCACGTTCCGTTTTCCTTCTTTCCTTTCCTTTTTTATTCTTGTTTCTGTTTTTCTTCTGCCTCGAAGGCGACTCGAAAAGTAAAACCGTTTCATTATTTACTTAATGCAGGGGTGGGCCGCAATTCGCAAACATAAACAGAAAACCGGTGTTTGTGAATATATATATGGCTGTGTGTGTATATATATACGTAACCCCGAGTAATAATTAATCGCATGTCGGCGCCAAATCACGTGCAGACCCCCCATGAAATGCGGAAAAGGTTAAAGAACTTTTTGTGTGTGTGTGTTACTGCTTCTTTTCATTCTTTCACCACTCCATTATTTTTTCTGTTTTTTTTTTGCTCCCGTCGGCGATTTTTGCAGACGTTGCGTGCGTGGTCTGGGACCGCTCCAAAATTGAACCCATATATACTTTTTTTTGGTTGCTTTTACCTTCTGGTAAATGATATTAGATTGGGGATCCGGCTGCTAAATCCGTGCTGACGAGGGACGCTTTAATTGGTATTGGAAAAAAATATGTAAATATGAATGAAATAGCTTTTTATCCTTTATAATTTTCAAATCCTCCGCCAAATTATACACAGCAATTTCTAAAATCAGAAAATTTCCGTTTCGTGATTTTCAAAATTTAAACTAATAATAGATTAGAATTTAGTTTTTTTATATTTATTAAAGTTATTTAACATATTTTTCATTGTGAAACAAAAAGAGGATAAAAAAATTATTGCAAACAAAATTTTTTGTTTTCAAAAAGTCTAAAACAAATTCATGAAACTGATGAAAAAATATGATATTTATGACATGGTTGATTTTCTATTTTGGAAATGCTTCAAAAGTGCTTTAATAAAATAATTTATATTGACAGATAAATCAAGTGGACAATTCATAATAATGAAGTGAAAACATTTGTAAAACTAAAAATACATAAAAACACATCTGTATTATTACTATACATTCATTGTTGATAATTAAAATTGTTATTACAAAATTTAAAATGTAATTCATTGGTGTACTGTGTTTGTAAATTTGAACATTAATCATCGACGATGCATATGGAAATAACATTTACAATATTTTAATTAGCTAATTAATAATTTAATGCGAAATTTCGTTTTTCTTTTTGTTTATTTTGAATTCAATGTTTTCGCCAAAGCGAAACGTTAATTTATTTACGCGGAAAATCGGGCTATAATTGCTTCACTTTTCCGAATTATCGACAATATTGTTGTTGTTGCTCTGTAATTATAAATGTGTACAGCAAGTTTTCCCAGAATCACGAAAAACGATTACGTA